CGCCTACCTGCCAGCGAACACTACATCGGTGTTACAACCACTGGACCAGGGGATCATCAAAAACGTGAAAGTACTGTACAGGAAGCATCTTCTTGAGCGGATGCTGTTATGTATGGACAATGCAAGTCAGTATGAGGTGAGCCTTCTCAGTGCTATCCATATGCTGGCGCGAACGTAATGTCGCGTAAAGGATGAAACCATTGCGAACTGCTTTAGGGCGTGTGGCTTCATTCCAAGTGGTGCAGATGATGACGCGTCTTGTACAGTGGGGGAAGAAGACACAAGTGAGCTTGACGTTGGTCTCCTGCCAGCTCTCGGCGACGTCCCTTTCGAGGAGTACATAGCCACTGACAGTTCGGTAGAAACGTGCGGTGCACTGTCGGACGCTGAGATTGTGGAGATGGTTCGGCCCAGGGAGCCTGGTCACGAAACGGAGATTGACGCCGCCGACGCCGCAAGTGAGCCACTGGCGCGGGCTGCTGATGTAGCCGCAGGCCTTTCCCTCGCGCAGCGGTTTTTCACTGCTGAGAGCAACGCCGAGGAAGCACTCGGGCACATATGCAGCCTGCAGTACTTGCTTTCTGCTGCAAGATTCAGCAAACAGCAATCACAGATTTTTTCTCATACGCTGCTTTGAAATGTATTTTTAGTTCATTGTGGTTAATTGGAATTCCGCTTAATTCGAAGTTTTTCGTGGTCCCCATGAACTTCGTATTAATGAGAGTCGACTGTATAAGATGACTACTCTGGGCAGCAATTCTTGTCTTTTATGTGAGATATCTTTTATAAACAAGGTACCTCGTAGGCATTTTTTTTATCAACCTGTATTTTACTGTAGGCACACTGATGTCTCTTATACCCATTTGTCTCTTATGCACGGATATTCGAAGGCCAAAAGTTGCATAAAAAAATCAACTTTTTTTTACCTGACATTTTCGGAATGTGTACCTATGTTTGCACTTATCTGAGAAGTTTGTAGCTTCTTGTATCATTATTTTTGGTGCAATACCAGTTCATAGCACCTGAATGAGATGGATGTGAGCACAAATAGATGCCAAAATAGTGCTCTTTTCTCAGTGCACCGTTGCCATTACACACGAGCTTTCGTGGCCATCTTGGTCTCGCTTGGAAGAATTGTTCTTAATCTTCAATTTCCCGCCACCACTGGCTCGCCTTCTCATTGGTTTATCAGAAAAAACACATGAAGTACTAGCTCGAGATTCTATAGGCTGCTTGGGGCTTGTGATAAAACCTATGCATCCGACTGGCCAAGGGGTGTTTTTGACGTCAGGTTCACTGTCGAGGCGCGCACGGGCATGTGCCATTTTGTCGTAATGCTGTCCTCTGTGTGCTGCAGTAAAAAATCTATGCCCCACACAAAGTGAAGTAGGTGAAGTGATCGCTCGCTGTGAACTTCAGAAAGAGCCCCGCTGTGGCTCAGGACAACGAGAATGATGAACTCGCGGTGGTTAACGGAGCGGTCGCCGAGTCGTGGGGGTAGGCCTAACTGACGCTAGACCTACGAGCCCGTCAGTTGCCAACAACCCTGAAAGCGGCAGTTTTTTGTAGCCTACACAGCCGAGGACAGCATGTGAAAAGCAGAAGTGAAGCGACAAGAGATACCAATATATGGGGCGACAGAACGAAAGCACTATCTTATTGGCAAGGTTCCGCTTGGCATAGCCCAAGTCGTTGCCGGACTGCCCCTAAATTTGGAAAAGAAATTTGCTGCTGTAGTTGTGCCTTCCCCGTGTCGCCCGCGGTGCATTCTGCCTGTGCGTGTGCGATGTTGGCCATTTTAATTAACGGAATGAACAGTGCGTTGCAAAAGTCTGGCCGCGTGCTCTTGCTGTGTGCGCATCTATGCAATTAAGTGGTCGCTCTCGACCGTGTTTCAGGGTTGGGGAATCAACGCGCAACGATGCGTATGAATACACACTGAATGGGGAACTGAATTTGTGCGCTGCGTTTCTCTGCACTGAATATCTCCGTAGCTGTGTGTACAGTTGAACCCCGCTACAACGAACGCCGCTTCAACAAAACTTTTGCTACAACGAAAAATTCACGATTCCCTATCAGCAGTCCATAGAAGTCAAGGCATAAATATTGTCGCCCCAAGGAACACTTTTTCTTCTGCCGTCCCGCTTCAACGAAATTTCACAGTGCAATTCCAGGCTCAGATATTTCTATACAGGAAACCCACTACTGTACAGATCTCTGTAAAACTCCTCCGCTATTTTAACTATCCTATCCATATTGGTAGATATTTTGCCTTCTTTGTCCCTTAGTGCATACATCCGACTTTTGCCTATCCCAAGTTTCCTCTTCACTGCTTTGACGCTTCCTCCGTTTTTCAGAGCGTGTTAAATTCTCTCCATGTTATACCTTCTTACATCGCATACCTTATGTCTATTAATCAATTTCGAAAGCTCTGCCAGTTCTATTTTGTCTGTTGTACTCGACACTTTCATCATTTGACGCTTCTTAATTAGGTTCTTCGTTTCCTTGGAAAGCTTGCCAGTGTCCTGTCTAACTACCCTGCCCCCAACTTCCACTGCACACTCCGTAATGATACTCGTCAGATTATCATTCATTGTATCTACGCTAAGGTTGGTTTCCTCACTAAGAGCCGAGTACCTGTTCTGCAGCGACATTCTGAATTCCTGTACTTTCCCTCTCACAGGGAAAGAAACATGTGATGCGTGGAGGGAAAATCGACTTGACAAATACTTTGGAGTATCTCTGCTGGAAGATATCTTCAATGCCAACGAGACAGCACTATTTTACAGAATGTTGACCGAGATGACGCTGGCCTTTAAGGACGATGACTGTGCTGGAGGGAAGCGTAGCAAAGAAAGAGTGTCGGTGCTATGCGAACATGACGGGCACTGAGCGATGTCACCTGCTCGTGATAGGCAAAGCTGCTAAGCCTAGATGTTTCAAGGGCGTGAAAACGCTGCCTGTCGACTACGCGTCTAACAGGAAAGCATGGATGACCGCAGACCTATTCAAGGATTGGCTGACAAAATTGGATCGCAAGTTCGCGTTACCTAAACGCAATGTATTGCTCCTTGTGGACCAATGCAGTGCACACATGATGTGCCGCCCTTGAGTGCAATACGTGTCGCCTACCTGCCAGCGAACACTACATCGGTGTTATACAACCACTGGACCAGGGGATCATCAAAAACGTGAAAGTACTGTACAGGAAGCATCTTCTTGGGCGGATGTGTGGTGTATGAACAATGCAAGTCAGTATGAGGTGAGCCGTCTCACTGCTATCCATATGCTGGCACAAACGTGGGGTCGCGTAGAGGATGAAACCATTGCGTACTGCTTTAGGGCGTGTGGCTTCATTCCAAGTGGTGCAGATGATGACGCGTCTTGTACAGTGGGGGAAGAAAACACTAGTGAGCTTGAGGTTGATGGTCTCCTGCCAGCTCTCGGCGACGTCCCTTTCGGGGAGTACATTGCCACTGACAGTTCGGTAGAAACGTGCGGTGTACTGTCGGACGCTGAGATTGTGGAGATGGTTCGGCCCAGCGAGCCTAGTCAGGAAACTGAGGTTGACGACGCCGCCGCAAGTGAGCCACTACCGCGGGCTGCTGATGTAGCCGCAGGCCTTGCTTTCGCGCAGCGGTTTTTCACTGCTGAGAGCAGCGCCGAGGAAGCACTCGGGCACATATACAGCCTGCAGGACTTGCTTTCTGCTGCAAGATTCAGCAAACAGAAGCAAACGGCAATCACAGATTTTTTCTTATAAACTGCTTTGAAATAAATGTATTTTTCGTTCATTTTTCGTTCACGCGCGACTACAGGAACGCGTTTTTCCTAGCTGTATTAGCACAAGACAAATCGTTCGGGCTCTTGTACTTATGAAGATTAAACATGGCAAGTCTGGATAATTGGGGTACGTCGAATATACTACAGCTAAATATGGCCGAAAGGCTGCTTTATGACCGCTGCTGAAGCGACCTAAGCGCGACTTGCGTGTACCTGTAAATAAGACTCCCCTGGTGAGCCGCCGTCGCCTGCAAGGCCCCATCCACAATAAGCTACCAAAATTATAATCAATGAATGTTTATTGTCTCTAAGCTCGATGTTCAGTTCCACTTGCGTTCTCATACGTGACATTGCGCATTGATTCCTTATTCAGAGAGATACTCGAATGTGCTCAGACTTCTGCAAGGCCTTGTTAATTCCTACGTCGCCCACGCCCTTGCGAACAACGGGGGACAACACGGAGCCCTCATAGGAAAGGCACAATACAGGGGCAAATTTCTATGCTAAATCTGGCTGCTGTCTGAAATCACTGACCCCTAAATGTGGCAACTGACTTACGCAACGCTAAATGGAACCTTGCCATCCTATCGCTAAATGCGCCAATGCCCCCCCCCCCCCCCCCCCCCCCCCGTTTTACGATATGACCCTGTTTGTGTGTCAACTGCGTGACGGGTCGTCGGAGTGCCTATCAGCGCGCGTCGCGTCGACAAACAGAAAATAAATCTATTCACAGTGAACGTGCTCGCCGCCCACGTAATGTACGTTACTGGCAACAAGCAAAGTGTTTTTAGCAACGTGTCCGCAACGGTGACCGTATCGCATCGCGGTCTCCACCCAAAAATGTGGCAGTCTTATGTGAAAAGGAAACTAACACCTAGCTACTCTTGCAGCCTCGAAATTGATGAGCGAGTGCGCGAGTTCAGTTTGCAACATGTACGTGTATCTCAATCTGGACAAGCCGGAAAACAGCGCTGTGTCGAACGACGGATTGCAGATGGCGTGCGCACATCACAACTGGTTAACTGCAATTTTTTATGAAGAAATATGACGTGTCATGGAACTTGTCTCTACTGATTTCCAACCACTTGAGCTGCTGTGCATATACCACAAAATTATACCATGTATACTAAAGCTTAAGTTTCAGACTTGTGCTGTTGTGCTGGTTTCAAGCTGTGCTGTAATTGAATCCAATTCTATTTTCAATTTTAATCGTGCAGGGACCTGGAGCGTTCATACCGAGGAGGCGGAGGCATGCCAAGGACTGGCAACTATGGCAGGGGCAATTACAATGGTGAGTGGTGGTTGTGCATTTTTATGACCTGGTAGTGTTGGGACATCCTCCTGGTTACAGCCAACAGATATTTAAAAAGCCAATAATATTAACGAATTCCTCAATTTCATACTCTCGTTGGGTCATATTACATTTTGCCTGCTTCTGCACCCCATTTCTGGTGCAAATCCACTGTACCTGCCTAGTTAAGGGGGGCGCGGGTCAGAACAGCCAAAAATGGCCAAAAAGTTTTTTTGCAAAACTTATTTTCGGGGCATGGTAAATACAATCAAATAAGTCTTCAAAGCATCCTGGCAGCAGTATAATGCCCCAAATATAGCTAAATTTGTTCGGACTTCGTGCGCATGCCATGAGCGTTGCAGTGGGGTCGAGCGCCACCATTTTGAGCTAGATTTAAAGCTGTGTCCTTTGTGCATAATCTCAAAATAGCATCGTTCAAGCAGCATGGCTCCTGTCGCTGGTTTTCTGGAGGCTGTTCCCGAGTAGCTAATTGGCCCTTACTCTGTGTGCATTTTGAGTGCGCCGTACTGAGCCTCCCATTGGCTGACATGGCTGGCGTGACTGATGCAGTGGTCTTCTTCTTTTTTTTTTTTTTTTCTTTGTGGCTGTCTGATTGTTTGCGTCTGCTTTTGCGCTCGTGCATGTTTCTCGACACACCGCTTTTCTGCCTTGCGCTAGTAGTTTTTGCACGCTATCGAGGTGCTCGAAGCCTGTCGTCTGAAATTGTCCTCACACCGAGCTTTTGGAAGAGCTAAAAAGTGGGCTTTGAACAAGGAGATGACAGCTAGAAGTGCACCGTTGGGACGATAGTTTGGTGAAGTTGGTGTCCATTAGGCACCTTTCCATTTACGATCCGCTCCGTGTACAAGTAACTGCATAGCGCCTGGGCAGTAGGATCACGTGAGCAGCGGAACGTAGAGCGCATCTGGCACTCCACTTACGAAGTTGATTGAGCGAAGGGTGAAAGAGCGACCTCTTGGTTTCGCCGTGATTTTGCGGCCGGTGAGCTAACCTCCTTCCGGTAGAACGCACTCGTCAGAAACTAAAAATCTCTGCAGTTCCTCGCACCATAGGTGTGTGCAGGGTTCCCCTTCAGTGGAGGCGGAGGTTAATACCAGCGTCCCCCTTCCTAGAATGTCAATTCCGATGCCCCCCTCGTGCGCACGCCTATGCCCTGCACTTTCTTGCGATGCTATGCCTGCGCGTGAAGTCGATAACCCCTTCCTCTTTTCCCCGCTCTTGGGTTTTACAAATTTCTGTTTCCAGGTTGGAAGGCATGCCAATATTTTGTATTTTGGACCCATTAAATTTCAGCTCCTGTTCGAATCGGGGCCCATGCTGCCTAGTGATTCAGGTGTCACGCTGACTGTTCATCTGTGTATGTTTCCTTGCGCTGTTTTTAGCCACAATTTTTTAGCCCACAGTCATGTTCATTACTGTACTTCTTCATATTTTTAAAGTGGCACTCATAGCTATAACTACTAAAGTATGTGTCCACTGATATATATAATATACATGTGTATATTATTCCTCATATCTTCTCTATGCAGGAAGATAAAGAACCTGTGGCACGAAATGGAAAAAAAAAATTGGGCTGGTGTTGTTGGTGTATTAGGTAAGCAGCACATTTTGAATGCCACTTTCTTTCTTTTTTAAATAATCTTGGTTATTACTGTCAGGTTTGTGAATATGTGTGCATTAGCTGTTGTTGTGCTTTCTACTTTCTGTTCTGTGTTTCGAAGGAGCCACGCTTTTTTTTTTTTCCTGCCATCGCCTCGTCGAAGGTCCAGGTCCGTCTTCTGCGGCACCTCCTGTCTGGAAGACTAGTGATTTTGTTGTTCTGTTATGTGGGAAACAAGAAATCACTATCTTCGGACAGTGGGCTGCACCACCTTCAACTTCGGTTCTCGTCGCAAAGTTTAGAAAAACTACATGCAGTTGACTTGTGTGTGTCCTTTACGCAGTTCTATGTGGGCTACCCCTGCATGTAAATATTCTGTTAGTTATAAATTAATTTCGCTTGGTAGACTTTGTGCTTGCTCATTAAACAGGCAGTAAGATTGCAGACACGTGAACACTTCAACAATGTTTTGCCCGCCTACTCATGGTGCAAAAAACCTGATTTTTAGCGCCTATAAATCTGGCCTCTAGTTGTAACCTATGTTTAGTTATATCTGGGTCTGTTTTATCGAAGTTTGAGTGTATATTGAGAAGGACAACAGGTGAAGAAAGCCAGTTCTAGTATGTTTGTTAAAGGTTCCTAATTAAGCGGCTATAGATATTGCTTACTTAAGTTATGTCACATGAATGTTTGTTTTCACTAATTGAAGCAGCAGTGTAAAAAATGTACCTTACTGGGGCAGACTGGTCTTTGGGACCAAAAAGTGACAAAAAAATTCTTTTTATTTAAATGGACATATTTGGTTTCTGCAAGTAATTTTCTATATCTCAGCAAATTTTCAAACACCAGGAAGAGGTAATTTTTTTTTGTAATGTCATTCTAACTGTTCAGATTCTTAATGCTGTTAACATGCAGAAACTGCAAAAAAAATGGGGAACCTACTTAGAGGCTTCTTTATAAGCACCTGTGTTAGAAGCTCCGCTACGAATTTATGAGGATTGCAAAACATGTGCACCATGATTGTTGCTTTTTTTTTTTTTTGAAGAAGCTGTGTGTTTTCAGCTTTTTCCATTTTTCTCAAAAAAAGTAAATTTACGGCAGTTCAATTTAGAGGCCTCAATATCTCTGCAACTAGGGCTTGTACAACATAATTTTTTGCTGTGGAAGCCTGTATGTGTGTAGAATGCATGTATGGGAACAGTATTTAGAGCCCAAGCTTTTTAATTAATTACTCATCAAAATTGTAACACAATTCCAACTGCTTTTGAAAATGGATAGTTCATTTTGCTGTAAAATAACAAAGAAAAGCCTAAAAACAAAAAACATGCATACTTGCAATCTATAGTCATTAGTCTATGTTGGCATATCTTAAATATAATTACACACTTTTTTCTATGGCGGCTTTAAACAATAAGGGGAGAACTTGTTATCTCAGGAACTGGATGAGTTACAGGAAAACTAATATATATATTTGAATTCAGCAGAAACAAACTGCATAATCCTGTGAAGTTTGATCAAGATGACTGAAGAAATAAACAAAAAAAAAGTCCAAGACCAGTCTGCCCTTTAAACATGGAAAGGAAAACATTAGCTTAAACACATTGGGATTTAGCCGTAATACAAAGATAATGATGTCAATTGCACAGCTGTTGCTGCACAGGGTGCTGTGCATTGTGTTGTTGTTGCAAGACGTTGGCACCGCCTCTAGCAATGCATTATGTTGCTCTCTAAGGTGCAAATCTGGTTTTCGCTTGTGCTTAAGGCAGCCGAAGTTCATGCAGGAGCACTTTCATTAGTGTGCATTTATTTCATATTAAGATTGCACAGTACAGCTTGTTATAGCTTGGTTCCCAAGTACTAATAACGCTCGTTGTTGGGCTAGTTGGTGCATCGCTTCAGAAAAAATTCCAGACAATAAAATAACAAACACAGGCAACGAAGAAGGAGACAGGAAAACGGCAATTTGTCTAGGGGCTTTCCTGTTTCCTTCTTCGTTTCCTGTGTTCATTATTTTATTGGCTGGATTTTTTCTGGCTCCTAAATTATATAGCTTTTGACTCAATCCGCATATAGTTTGTAATCACATGCAGTTGCTTTAATAGTATGTTTGGAGCTTTCTGCGCACCTGTAGCCACACGTAAACCTCTTTGCTTAATATTCCCCCCTCCCCCCATTGCTATCCCCTCACCTTTTGTTTTCCCGTCTTGTTGCAGGATTTGGCACTGAGAATATCTCCACCACGGGATGCCTGCCTGCCCATTGTTTTGCAGTGTCGTTCACTTAAAAGCAGACTTACATGCCTGTTCACACCCAGGGGGTATTGGCTGGCAGCTGGAGGGATCATCATTGGTTTTTTATTTTTTTTTTTGTTAGTTTTTGTTGTTTATTTTTTCATTGCACACCTCATAAGTATTGACAGAGTGGAGCTACAGCCGATCAGCAGATTATTCACACATTGAGAACGAATTGAAGCCGTCAAAATGTCATCCGCCCACTTGTTGCAGCATGGCACCTTTCCAGTGCAAATATGCTTTTTTTTTTACCAGACTGTTTTAGTTGTTTCCAAGGTGCTGCAGTTCATCTTTGATGCTGTGTACAAAAAGAAAAAGGAATAAAAACTCTTTAAATATGTTTGGGTCACTGCCAAGTCTCTCTTCTGTGTACTCTCTTGTTGGACTGTTGTACATGTCTACGCTGACATGTGCGAAGGAATCCCGCTAATGCATTTTTCTTAAATATCATTCAGGCGAAGAGGGGACTAGCGCTCTGAGAAATTTGTGATGCAAACATGTAGTTGAAATTTGGCACTGATGCTCAGTTAATGCTGAACTGTGCCGAATGGTATGCTCTGGCATTCGGAAATAGAGCTGACTCTTCAAGCGCAACTTGTATAAAAAGGGACATTGCATGAGATACTTGGGAGGTCTGTTTATCGAGATTTAGTTTCGAAGCAGATTTCTCGGGCCACATATCACTGGTAATTAAGTTTTTGCTTTATGGTGAACACAAAAATTAAGTGGTTTGTACTAAGCATGCAATGCTGATCAAGCGACCAAGTTAACTGAAATTCATATACAGGGCGTTTCAAGAAATGTGTCCATTATCGTTCTAAAATCACAAAGGAGGCACCTACGGGCTACCTGCAGTGTTCTCTACTTTGCAAGGGGAGACGCGGGTCGAAAAGTCTCGGTTTTCCGGAAAATTTTCGCTTTTTTTTTTTTCGGCTGTATTGGCATCCTTGGACTATAATCTATTACTTCTGAAAATATCAAGCTGAAATTCGCACGAGAAATTATCAAAAAATGCTTCCAAGTGGGCAGCGGTGACGCGAGAAATGCGCGAAAGTCGCGAAAAACGGCGAAGTTCGCGTCGTCCTGTGGCGAAAACGACGCGTTGGCCGCCATTTGCAATCGTGCACGCATGCTGCGAAGGCCGTATCCTTCATACTCCACTAATAGCCAGTCTCGTGCCTTCACGTAGAATAAACAAAAAACGAGAAAAACAACGCGTACGTCACGCGTTTTGAATATCGCGGCACACAGTGCGAGGCCGCCATTGGACGGCGGTGCTCTCCACGCTCCTCCCCCTCCTATCTCCGGCAAAAGAGCGAAGCCTCGGACGTCGCGATCGAGTTTTTCTGCGTTTCTCTGCATTTTTGCGTCATGGCAAGCCCGAAAAAGTGCAGTTCAGATAATCGAAAGTTCAGAACTCGCCACAAGTATCGAGGGAAACGGCGTCGGACGCTTCGCAAAGCGACAGCGAACGACGATGTCGCCCCCGACCAACGCCCCGACTTCGGATAGGCCTAACACGGTCACCGAACCCTGCGACAGTGGTTGTGAAATAGCCGCTGCCGTGGAATTCGTCAGTGCATCCCAAAGGAAGATTGTATTCTTCGAGAGTGAACGTAGACCGGTAGATGCTGCTACTGCGAACATGCTGCTTTGCGAAATCGATGCGCTGACGGCACTTGTGGCGGGTGCGCAATGCCCAACCTGCCGCGAACGGAAGCTCGGCGTGCGAGAGGCAGCTGGAAAGCGCAAAGGACTTTCGGCATTCCTCGAACTGTGCTGTCAAAATTCTGATTGCCCTGAATCTGCACTTTCGTTCACGCACACGTCGAGACGTACTGCTTCGGCCGGGGACCAAGGAACGAGCGCTCGTTTTGACAGCGGCAGCTCGCGTGACAGCTTTGCTGTAAACGTGAAGGCAGTTCTGGCAGCACGCGCTATAGGCGCAGGCCACGACCAACTTTCACGATTTTGTGCGATTCTCGGTCTTCCGAGCCCGATGCATCACAAGACATTCAACGGCATTTGCAAGAAGCTCCATGGTGCGGCGATGACGGCAGTGAGCAAAAACTTGCACCAGGCACGAAACATCACGAAGGACGCAGTCGGCGGCAGAGATGTGCCAGTCATGTTTGATGGCACCTGGCAGAAAAGAGGTCATAAAAGCCACAATGGAGTGGGCACAGTCGTGTCCCTGGACACGGGGCTCTGCCTCGATTTTGAAGTTCTTTCGAACTACTGCCATGCTTGCAGTATACACAGGGACCTTGGGGAGGATGAAGAGATATGGCGAGCTTTTCATCTTCCAGTTTGCCAAAAAAACAATGACTGCTCATCCCATGCAATGGAGCCTGCGGCAGCTGTCAATATATGGCAGAGGACCTTGTCTTATGAAACTCCACTGCGATTCACCAGCTTCCTAAGTGATGGTGACAGCAAGGCCTACACTGCAGTCTGCGAGGCAAATGTATACTGTGACACCCCCATTGACAAAGAAGAGTGCACGAACCACGTTGCAAAGCGCTTGGGAACTGCCCTACGGAAATTGGCAACGCCACTGCCACGAGGCGAAAAACTGAAAGATGCGACAATAATAAAACTACAAACATATTACAAGATCGCCATCACGAGCAACAAGGACAGTGTCCGAAATATGTACCCTGCCATATGGGCATCGTATTTTCATTGCTGCTCCAGTGATGGTGCCAGTAGCCACAACTTTTGCCCCGCGGGACCAAATTCGTGGTGCAAGCACAAGCGTGCGGAAGCACTGGGGGAGCCTGCACCACGCCACACCCCACTGTTGACGAAGGCTCAAGGATTGGCAATTATGCCTATCTACAAGCGCCTTACAGAGGAGAAATTCCTTATTCGGTGCCTTCATGGCAAGACACAGAATGCAGCCGAATCGCTGAACAGCAAGATATGGCTGCTATGTCCAAAAACAAAATTCGCCTCCAGAACAACTGTGGAGACAGCCACCGCTCTTGCTGTACTCTGGTACAACAAAGGCCACAGGGGCTTTGAAGAAGTGCTCGAAGGCATTGGAATTCTCCCCTCACAAGATCTGGCCACACATGGTGACCACTGTGACGTCATGCGCATCAGGAAGATGAACCTGAAGCAAACTGCAGAAGCGAGGGCACACCGTCGCAACACAGCGAAGAGAGCTCGTGTTGAGGACCCTGACCGCAAGAGCCGTGAAGGACCAAGCTATAGTGCAGGGGACTTCTAGACACTTGCAGTGCATTCAAGGCAAGGTACTTTTCATTGTGCCCCAATTTGATGCAAAAAGAATGATTTCCTAATAAATGCCAACTTTGCGAACTTTCAAACTTGTTTTTCTCATTTTCATTTTTTCAGGCAGTTTCACGTTTTCCGGGCAGCCTTTTAGAAACTTATATTCATTGTATAGTAACGAAACTTTGCACACATATTCTTCAACACATGCAGAATGCAAATATCTACTCTAAATTGCAATGCCTACCAGCATTAGTTGTGAAAATATTAGCTTATTGTTTCAAGGGAGACTGAAAATAATAAGTCATTCAATACAATTTTTTTTCTTGGTTCCAATATTTCTGTGACATATCTATATAGATATTTGCACTTTTCAATCTACCAAGAGTCAAATAAGATCAGACACAGTGCTTTTACTGAAAGTTTAGTACATAAAAGAGTGCCCGCAAAAAATGTGACTTTTTGCTATTGTTTATGGCATAACTCAATAATTATAGCAGCTACACAAAAAATGATTGCATATTTGAAATCTGCATGAAAAACTATACTATTAACAAACTTTTCAAGTCTCTATTACTAGAAATAAAAAAAAAACTTTTTCGAGGAGCGTCTCCCCATGTGTATGAAATTATGGCAGTAATCACAGAAACTAATAAAATTAATTTTTAACCAGTGGAAATAGAGTCCAATGGGCGAATTAAAGTACTTCTTACGAATAGTCCACAGCCACTTTGAAAATTTGGAAAAGCGGCCACTGGTAGTCTCTGCAAAATGGTTAGTTCTGGGCTGGGGAGTCCGACGCCCGAAACAGTGCATCTACCATTCACTTCAATGCCTTCAATGAAGACTGTTTCCCTCGCTGTTATCAAGTCTAGACACTTCGCTTCGTGGCTTGCTCCTTCTCCTCCGTTTTGGTTGCTGGTTTCCGACTGTTCTCTCCGTAGGCCGCTCCTGTGTTAACCTTGGCTAGTGCTTCCTCAACGGACTTCAGCCTTTCTCCCATTGCCCTCGTTTTCTCTTGCTCTGCCGCCAACGCAGTCGCCAGCTTGGTGATTCTCATCAGCAGTTCACTATGGGCAACCATCATTTTCTTCATTTTTGCCTCGACCTCGCATTGCCTACACTTCGCGTCAGCCTCTTCTCCATCCGCTTCTACACTTGGGTCCTTTTTCAACCCCCCCCCCCCCCCCATCCTGAACACTTTACAGTCCTTTTAACCATGTCTTTCTGACATCGATTGTCCCTATGACTTGTCTCACTAGATCACTACAAAACTCGAGCCTGCCCTACGAAGAAGAAAAAGTCTAAGCTCTATCACAAAAATTTGCGTGTTCAATGTACGTGCACCTCCCCCACGGTATGGCAAAAGAAAACAACAAAAAAAATCACACACACGCACGAACTAATAATTACCTGGTGGCTGACCCCCGAAAAAGCCGTACAATAAAATAAGTGCTACAAAGATTTTAACTGCTGCATTCATAATTATAAATACAAGCTCAAAACATGCAAAACCACTTACCTGCGCAGTCAATCGGGAGCACCGTGGAGGCCTCCACCGTGATCGGGAGCGCTCAAAAAACACGTCCATCCACCGTGACAGTCCGAACCGAACTCCCGTACAAACGGCTGCGCGCGCATCCCACACGGCTGCTCCTCAGAAACTTCAGTGCTCTCCGTAGGCGCCGCCTGCCGCTCATCACACTTTTCTATTCTGATGATATATGGTGTTTTTTGGCGCAAGGGCCATTTGATGGCCAAAGAGTGCCAGTTCATGGGACAAGGAGTGTGGACAATGATTGTGATTAGCGGCTGTATAAGGGCCATAAAATTCCTCGCGGTAAGGCGGGTAAAAACATACAAGTAATAAAATCATGACTATGCCGTGAAAGGTGTGTGTGGTGCGAATAGATGACAAAAGTTGGTGATAATAAAAACGATGGTGGACATGTATGGCATTAGCACAAGTGCCTCACTCGTTCATACCCTTGCGTCCAAGGGCCGTGCGACAAGTGCTTTGTTGTGTAGCCACCGCAGCGAAAACCTCTCTGGAGAGGTCGTGCTACGGAATGTCCGGGTATATGATATGAAAACCAACGTTACTAGATTACCTCAG